CCCAGGAGTTGGAGGTTGCTGTGAGCTGTGATGCCATAGCACTCTACCCAGGGGGATAGCTTGAGGCTCCATCTAAAAAAAAAAGAATCTGTACATGCTCTAGGTTGATTCATTTGGTGGCATTTGGTATTACATTGTGTAAATATACAACAGTTTTATGTCTATAATCTTGTCATTGGGCATATCCAGCTTTTTGCTATTATGAATATCACTTATTCTTATACATATGTGGGAAAATTTCTGTGGCTATACACTGGAGGGTAGAATTTTGCAGTTGTAGAGTACATATGTTCTCATTTACAAAATGAGATAATGCCAAAGTGTTATCCAGAGTGGTTTTCCAGTCTATAGTCTAAACAATATGTACGTTTTTGTTCTACATCTTCCTTGATACTTAGTATTCTGAGTTACTAATTTTTAAATCATTTATTTTTTTATTTTTATTTTTTTGAGACAGAGTCTTACTTTGTTGTCCTTGGTAGAGTACCGTGGCGTATAGCTCACAGCAACCTCAAACTTTTGGGCTCAAGCGATTCTCTTGCCTCAGCCTCCTGCGTAGCTGGGATTACAGGTGCCTGCCACAATGCCTGGCTATTATTTTAGAGATGGCATCTTGCTTTGGCTCAGGCTGATCTTGAACTCCTGAGCTTAGGCAATCTACCTGCCTTGGCCTCCCAGAGTGCTGACAGGCATGAGCCACCGCACCCGGCCCTAAATCATTTATTAAGATAAGTTTATTTTTGAATGCTTATGGATTTACAAAAAAGTTAGAGATAAAACCAAGAGTTCTCATGTACTTTTCACCCAATTTTTCCTGGTGTTAACATCTTACATAACTATACCTTTGTCAAAACCAAGACATTAATATGTGTATGTTAAGTTAACTAAACTCCAGACTTTATATGGATTTCACCCATTTTTATAGTAATGTCTTTTTTTCTGTTCCAGGTTCTAATACAGGATACACCTTTGTATTTATGGACTTATTTTTCATTACTCATGGGTATAAATTAATAATTCATTGTGGATTTAATTTGTGTTTCTGTGAGCACTAACAAGGTTTAGCTTCTTTTCATGTTTATGAGCCATATACACACATATATTTATATACATATATATATTTTTTTAATAAAATACCATGTCTTCATGTGTTTTGCCCACTTCTCTGTTGAATTTTTTTTTTGTAATAGTTCTTTCCATACTTTATTGATTGAGACAAGGTCTAGCTCTGTTCATTGGTGTCATCATAGCTCACTGCAACTTCTATCTCTTGGGCTCAAGTGATCTTACTTCATTTCCCTGAGTAGCTGGGACTACAGGCATGTCCCACCACACTCAGCTAATTAAAAAATTTTTCATTTGTAGAGACAGGGTCTTGCTCTGTTCCTTGGGCTGGTCTTAAACTCCTGGCTTCAAGCTATCCTCCTTCAGCCTTCCAAAGTGTTGGGATTACATGTCTGAACCACTGCATCCAGCCTCTGCTTTGATTCTAGAAATGTTTGTTAAGCTGTGTTTGTTGTAATTTATTGAACAGTTAGTGATTTTTTAGTGAGAGTCTTTTCATAAAATATAGGGCATATTATTGCTTTTTAGCAACTATGTATCTGAGGATTTGAGTGAATAAAAAAAATGGAAATTTAATAAATATTTGTGCTAATATGGAACATATTAGGTTTAGATGCTTGGTAAATGTTTTTGAATGAAACTGCTGAGCATTTATTTCAGGAAATAAAAATATTTTATTTTATCTTATTTATTTTATTTATTTATTTTTTTGA